TTATAGGCACACACCACCAAGCCCAGGTAATTTTTTGTATTTTTAGTAGAGACAAGGTTTCACTATGTTGACCAGGCTGCTTTTGAACTCCTGACCTCAAATGATCCGCCTGCCTCGGCCTCCCAAAGTGCTAGGATTATAGGCGTAAGAATTAGATATTTATTTCACCCCAAATAATGTATATTAAAGGTCTTTAAACATAGAAATATACTAATACAAAAGGAATGATTTTCAAATTACCAGATTTCTGTTCTAATAAACCACCCCCTAAAAATGTCATCAAATTGTCTTTTTAAAATACAGACATAATTTTAGACTTAGAGAAAAGTTGCAAATAACAGAAGAATCTGTGGATACCCTTTCCTCAGATTCCCCAGATTTCCCTCAGATTGTTGTTCAGTTAGTGTCTTGTAGTATGCCTCTTCATTTGGATTTGTCTGATGTCGTCTTTTGATTAAGCAGAGGATTTTGGGGGAGACGACCAGAGAGGTGGTATCCCATTCCCTTGTGTCATATGAGCAGGCACAAGACAGCAACATGGTTGATTACTGGTGATGTTAACCTTGATCACTTCAGGTTAAAGTGGTATCTGTCAGGTTTCTCCTCTAGAAAGTGACTGTTTTTCCTTTTCCATACCGTTTGTTAGTAGCAAATCACTAAGTGTAGCTCTCGTTCATGGGATTGGGAATTAAGCTGCACATCCTGGAGGGAGGAGAATCACAAATTTGTGGACATACCTTAAAACTACCACAGTAATTAGTTAATACTTCCGGGAAGATAGCTTTGTGCTTATACAGATAACCTGTTTCTCCTTAAAAGTTTGCTCACTGAATTTAGCATTCATCAATGCACATTGCACACGGCAACCATTCAGTCTATGACATTGAGTCTTTGATGGTTTCTTGATCCTTACTGTGATGTTCTAATCATGATTTTGCTTCCCTTATTTCTCCTACATTTATTAATTGGAATTCCTTTGTAAGGAAGATTTGTCTCTTTTCGTCCATTTATCTTTTATTCAATCATCTGTTTACAACAGTGTGGATTCACAGATACTTTTTAATTGACATTCTAATCGGGCATTTTTGTTATTTCTTTGGTTCCTCAGATTGTTCCAGCTTTGGCCATTGGGAGTTCTTTCATGTTGGCTCTTGTATCCTGTGGAAATGCTGTGCCCTCCTTTTTTTCACACCCATTTTCTTATTTTCTGGTATTCTGGCACTACTGGAGGCTACAGATTCGTCTTCTGTTTCCCCTCCCCCAGCCTGGGAATCAGCCATTTCTTCAAAGAGCCCTGGTCCTTTTTATTGGAAAATGGTACTTAAAAAGCATAATCTGGGTACTGAGTATGCATGTTATTGCTGGAGGGTCACTTCCTTGAGAACTTTCAGAGGGCAGAGCTAGAAAACATACACATGTGTACTGGCCCAGGTGTATACACATCTGTTACTGCATCTCTGTTCGTATGTTTATTAAGGCAGGCGTAAGTTCGTTCTGCTATCTCAGGCTCTAATCTAGCCCCTCGGGGTTCACTCCCAGATTTGTGCTTTTGCTTTTTGATGATGGAGTATGGGCAGTAGAGCAGTTAAACCTGGTTTCTGTATTTACTTTTTGCTGAGTGCTGTAGCTCATTGGTGAGAAAGGGATCTTTTGGCTTAACTCTCATGGACACATTGTATCAGAAAGGTGGTCCTCATCACACCTCTGAGAGGTCCTCCAGAGCTGAGATGGCTACAACGTTGCAGGTGAAAAACACCTGCTTTTCAGGTGCTTCACTTCTCACCTTTCACATGGTACATGCCCAGTTGTATGTTCTAAGCCTTGTTTCAGATAATTTTAAGAGTTGTCACTTTAATAACCATCTCTAACACAGGGGTCAGCAACCTTTTCTGTGAAGTGCAGTAAATATTTTAGGCCTTGTGGACCATAAGGTATTTGTTTCAAGTACTCACCTCTATCTTTGTCTTGTGAAAGCAGCCATAGATGGTACATGAACGAATGAGTATGGCTATGTCTTAATAAAATTTTGTTTACAAAAACAGGGGTTTTTATTTGGCCCGTGGGCCATGGTTTACCATCCCTTGGACCCATTAAATATATTCTTCTTTTCATTGTCTCATTCTCACTGCATTCTTGGGCTTGATACGTTAACATTTGTGCATCAGTAAAAGCAATCTGGTTTCTAGAAAAGAGGGGCAGTCTGTGAGCTTTCTCTTCCTAAATACAGTTGGTTTATGGTACTAGTGTGGTCACACAAGCTCTGTCTCTTCCCTCCCTTTATTACTTCTGCTTCCCTTCTGAGGAAACTGAAATCCTGTGGTAGTTTTCTTTTTTGTTTTTAAGTGATTTATTTTTTTGAGCCTGTTGACCAGGCTGGAGTACAGTGGCATGATCACAGCTCATTGCAACCTCCACCTCCTGGGTTCAAGTGACTCTCCTGCCTCAGCCTCCCGAGTAGCTGAGATTACAGGCATGTACTACCATGCCCAGTTAATTTTTTTTTTTTTTTGTATTTTTAATAGAGACTAGTTTCGTCGTGTTGGCCAGGTTGGTCTTGAACTCCTGACTTAGGGTGATCCTCCCACCACGGCCTCCCAAAGTGCTAGGATTACAGACATAAGGCACTGTGCCCGGCCTTTAAGTGAATTTTTATTTCAGTATAACATGCATAACAAGTTTGTATAAGTCTTAGCACTGGATGAATTTTTTTTTTTTAGCATTGTTTGAAGAGTCTGTTTTTAGATGAGTTTGCTAAGAAAGGTGGCACAGTATGTGATGATTCCATGTAAAGAAGTCAGTGTTACAGGACTGTGTTGCCTGTCTGAACTGGCATGGTTAGTTTAATTGTTTAAATTAAGGGCCTGCTTATAACTGGTATCTAAGATTTACTGGCGAGGAGAGAGGGTCGAGTATTCAGTGGCCCAGAATCTGCTATGGGAATTGATAAGGTTTATATTCAAGGAGCTAGAGATGCTTTAAATTATATACATTTGAATTATTCAATCCATTTTATTTATACATAAACACACACACACACACACACACACACACACACACACCTTGTCATCCTACATTTTTTTCTCATTGGAATTCAATTAAGGCCAATATCTGAACTTTAATACAGTTTTGGTACTTGCTGTATGTCACTACAGTACATTTAATTGTATGTAATTATAGAAAAAGACTATTGGATTGGATATCAGAACACTTGGTTATAAGTGCCGAGTTTACTGCTTATTTTTAAAATCTTAGGATAGTGATTTAACCCCTTTGGGTCCAAATCCTTTATCTGTGTATGAAGGAAACCATCTGCCTTCCTACCTTACAGGTTGTTGAAAGCATCAGACAGAACAGATGTTCTATTTATAGCTCTTTAATGGATATGTAGGCAAGCAGTGGCAGTTCTGTGACTTTTCTCTAACTTACATATCGTTTACCCAAACAGCCCTTATCTTCCAGCCAGCTTGACTGCTTCACCATATTGAATTACTAGTTTCTCTTTGTAACTAGAAGAACTGCCCAACTCGTGGTGGACAGAACCATGTGTCATGTCGTGATTTTATTCATTCTTGCATTCAGCACTCTTTTAACAGGCACCTGCCCTGTGCCAGACACCATTCTAGGCACTAACGTTTCAGCAGTGAATAAAATCAGTCCATCTTCTACCCCCATGGAGCATGTAATCCTGTGGGTAATGAGGCATTAATTAAAAAAATATAATTGTAGCTTTGATAAGTGGTAGAATTACAAGTATATAGTGCTTTGATAAGTGAATTTAATCTAAATAGGAAGGTTTTAAAAAGATGGAAAGAATATTCCATGAAATGAGAAGAAGCATTGTCCCATGAGGGATTAATAGGCCAACACTGTAGGCAGAGAAATAAGGGTGAGGGAGACTGGTAGCTGGCTGGGTGTGCAGGGCTCCCAGGCCACAAGTGGAGGCTTGTCTTCAAAATAGAAGTGAGCTCAAGCTATTTGCACTGAATTTGACATGAGCAGATTTTAAGTAAATCTTAAGGGGCAGTTACTAAAACTAGCCTTGTACATTTTTAAGAACTTCAAATCAAAGTTATTGCAACTCAGATTTGTTATAACGTATTTGTTAAAGAGAGGATTGTTTTGAGACTGTAGTTTCATTCTTCATGAATTGGTAGGTGTTTGTGGATTGTCAGCAAACATTTTGTCAGTGCTAAAGGTTTTTATAATGATAGAAATAGGCAAAGTAGATCAGGACACTCACTTTTCTACTGCTGATCCTGGAGACAGATGGCCTAAAATGTTCTGTATCTAGTTGACTTTTAGTTCTTGAAATTAAGATTTAATGATGAGCAAGCTTTAAATTGTAGAAAATTATTCTTTCAAAAGCATATTATGCCTTTTGTGTTGGCTTCTTATATTTATTTCTTTTAATCTTTCCTTTTAACTCAAACTATATTTTAAGGTTTTGTTGCCTACTAAATTATAGTATGGGTGCAGAAGGAAACTTGATTTGGTATGCGAATTTTGCATACCAAACATTTTACATTCAGTGAAGCTGAGCTCTGTTTCTCCTTCCTTAGAAAAGGGATCAAAGACATTGGTTTGAGAGATCAAGTCATGTGTTAATAGAACACAAATGTTCCATCAAGAAATATGCTGAAGGAGAAGGTGTAGTTTATTTCTTCTCCAGAAAGTCTTCCAACTGATAAATAATGAGACGTAGTATGGCATAGAAAAAAAGTACAAGTACACTCAGGTCAGCCTTTCTAGTTCAACCAGCTCAGACCCCTGAGCCATTTTTGCCTCTTTCCGCACCTTGGAGAACAAGAGAACAGTGCCTTGTCGTTACTGTTCGCTTTATGAGGATGTGAAGTGCGTACAGTGCCTGGCACCTGGCGGGCGGTGGCGAGTGTTCTTACTATCCTCATCAGCGTCCTTCTGAAACAATCCTTCTAGGTCCCACAGTGATCATTAGTGTTTTATGACAAAGTAGCTTACACAATATTTTTCTTTTTTTGAAGGAGAAATTGTCGTAAATGAAGTCAATTTTGTGAGAAAATGCATCGCAACAGACACAAGCCAGTACGATTTGTGGGGAAAGCTGATATGCAGTAACTTCAAAATCTCCTTTATTACAGATGACCCAATGCCATTACAGGTGTGTTTTATTCGTGCTCTGTTTAATTGTATCAAGGTTTTTAACTCTAAGCAGTATGTATTATAAAACATAGGTATGGAAAAATGATAATAAAATTATTAGGTAATGTTTGGGATAAATTATATTAAAATTTGAAGTTTAAGAAGAATGTTGGAACTTGCTTGAGGAGTATAATTAGAGGATTGTAAGTCACCTTGCTTTAGTTACCCTCTGTGATCATTGGTTATGTGACCTTTTCGTTAAGGAAGTTATTCCCTCTTTTCCAGATCTTTAACCTGCTTATAAAAATGACATAAAGAGAAAAAATTACTTGCTAAAATGATTTTATAAATGGCACATGTTTTACTGATTTCATTGGCTTTTTGTTGTTGGGTTTTGGTTGGTTGGTTTTGAGCCTGGATCTCGCTCCGTCTCCCAGGCTGGAGTGCAGTGGTGCGATCTCGGCTCACTGCAGCCTCTGCTTCCTGGGCTCAAGCTGTCCTACCACCTCAGCCTCCTGAGTAGCTGGAGGAGTACAGGCTCATGCTACCGCTCCTGGCTAACTTTTTAATTTTTTGTAGAGACAGGGTTTTGTTATGTTGCCCAGACTGAGCTCAAGCATTCTGCCTGCCTCAGCCTTCCGAAGTGCTAGAGTACAGGCGTGAGCCACTACACCCAGCCTACCTTTTTTTTTTAATTGATTAGTTCTTTTCCTAAAATTCAAATTCTAGTTTCTAGGAAGAGTGAAGAAAAGTATCGATTTAAAAATTTAATAGCCCTCTTGATATTTTAAGTTCTTACTGGAAAGTAATAGTTCCATATAATTTTGGTTTTTAGAAGTTCAGGCGTTCATGTGATTAACTTAAAAATCCCGGACTTTCTCCCAGCCATTTTCTTTTTGATTTATAAAGTATTATACACAGTTACCCCTAAATCTGTCTTTATAATAGTGATTGTTCTCTAATGAAATATTTGCATATGAACTATAGACTTTTTAATTTAAGGATCTAATAATTTAATGTAAGTATATTTCATGTAGTCATCCACTAATTTGCTATATTACTGTATTGCACAAATATTTACTGTATATTTGTGTGTCATTACAGTCTTGTGTAGGCATGTTTATACTAAAGTTTCTTTTCTTTTTTTGAGGCGGAGTTTTTGCTCTTGTTGCCCGGGCTGGAGTGCAGTGGCGCGATCTCAGCTCACTGCCACCACCATCTCCTGGGTTCAAGTGATTCTCCTGTCTCAGCCTCCCAAATAGCTGGGATTACAGGCATGTACCACCACGGCCGGCTAATTTTGTATTTTTAGTAGAGACGGGTTTCCGTATTGGTCGGGCTGGTCTCAAACGCCAAACCTCAGGTGATCCGCCTGCCTTGACCTCCCAGAGTGCTGAGATTACAGGTGTGAACCACCGTGCCCAGATTATTTAGACTAAATTTAAGGGACTTAAAGATATCTACTGTGTAGGGGCAATAGCTTATTTGGATATAGGCTTTGGGTGTTTCTCTTTGTTTTTAGCTTCATAATGATCCCTGGCCCCAGATTTCACTGTAAATAAGAAGCAGATACCTGGAACAGCTTAAATCCAGTACCACGATTAGGAAAAAAATAAACCAATGGCCTATTGACAGCAGATTGGTAGTGTTAACTATGTCCGTAGTTTGAAAATGCATCTGAAGTATTTGTTAACAAGTTTAAAAAAAAAAAAAGAGCTATGGTTTGCCAAAACCTTTTTCTAACAGTTTTTATTTCTAATGGACTTTGTGCTTTAAAAAGATAGTTATTGTCCACTTTAAAATCTTCATTGTGAAAATCAAACATGATTTTACCCATTTAAAATCTGATGACCTAAGGGCCCTTTTTTCTTTAATATGTTGTGGCCAGCTCATCCAGATCTAGACATGCAGATGTTTGCTGGTAAAGTGATTGATGATATTCCCTATATTGGATATTAAGATTGTGGTGTACATTTTAACCTAAGTTCTGTAAACATTAGAATGACCTTAGCTACCTAGACAAAAGCATTTTATGCTTTGTAGAGATGGTTGTCACGGCCGGGCATGGTGGCTCACGCCTGTAATCCAAGCACTTTGGAGGCCAAGGCGGGCGGATCACCTGATCGGGAGGTCAAGACCAGCCTGACCAACCTGGTGAAACCATGTCTTTTTTATTAAAAAATAAAAAAATTTTAAAAAGAGATATTTGTCACAGTTTAAGGCTTATACTACCATTGTGAGATTATTGGGGAAAGAATTAATATGAACATAATTTTTTATTCCAGAAATTCCATTACAGAAACCTTCTTCTTGGTGACCATGATGTCCCTTTAACATGTATTGAGCAAATTGTCACAGGTATGTAGTATTCTGTACATACTCTAGAGTCGATTCCACTCTAGAAGTACTGTTTGAAAATAACTTCACACCTCTCAGCGTACTTGGATTGGAGTTTTGTTTCTGTAAGTTTACTTTTGTCATTTTTTTGAATCCTAGGAACATTAATGAAACAGGGAGACGTCAATAAATTATTTTAAAAAGAGGATATAAAATGTAACTTTCCATAGTTTCTAAAAGTTTTGTCCTCTTTTTAATTAAAATTTTAATCATTAAATGTATCTAGTTAAAACCAACCCCCAAGTTCTAGGAGTTACAGACAAGTATGAATTATTCTAGACAAGCAGAGCGCAAGTGGTGGGTGACCTTGCAATTATTTTCACTAAGAATTTGTAATATAGGGTGAGTAATAAGAAATAATTGTTATGCATTTTATTTTGTTTTTTTTTTTTTGTTTTTTTGTTTTTTCTGTTTTAGTAAATGACCACAAGAGGAAGCAGAAAGTCCTAGGCTCCAACCAGAAACTGAAGTTTAATCCAACAGAGTTAATTATTTATTGTAAAGACTTCAGAATTGTCAGATTTCGCTTTGATGAATCAGGTCCCGAAAGTGCTAAAAAGGTAATACTGTTAAATTTTATGACGTTCTGGGTTCTGCACTATATTTTCTGATTTCAATTCTGTATGGCAGTTTTCATTTCTCAATTGCTCAGATGTTTTTTAGAAGAAGTTATCAGATACCTTCTTAAGGAGTCAAAGCCAAGAATATTAATAGAACTATTTCCTTGGATTATTTTATGGCTGTTTTAAAGTATTCTATATAATTTTTAATCAGCTTCTAAAATCTTAAAGACTCACATGTGGAAATTATCTTTTTTTTTTTTTTTTTTTTTTTACATTAAGATCATTAGTTGTCAGTTTCTTTCTTGGTTAAAAAGGTTGAAAAGTTGGCAATATACTGTAATTAAGGTTTGTTTAGGCTTTTCATTCAGTACTGCAGAATTTTAAAAGCCTAAACAAACCTTAAGTTACAATATATTGCTACTGGAAAGTCTGTTACTCTGCATTTGCTGCAGCACAGACTAGAACAGGAGGGGCATGCTAGGTATACCAGCTTCACTCTTCTGGCCAAGCAAAACGTGGAATCAAAGAAGAGGAACTTCTTGGCCTTGACTCATACTTTACAAGTAGGGTGATAAAACATCTGGAAAGCCGGGGAAAAATAAGGGAGTTAAAAAGCTACCAGCTTTGAGTTGCCCGTGTTGAAGCGTCACTCAAGTCAATTCATAATATTTCTTTAAACCACTAATAATTATTAGGCCGACTTACCTAAACCTTACATAATGTAAGTCTAGCTTATGAATTGACTTTGTTCTAGTCTGTGCTGCAGCAAACGCAGAGTAACAGACTTTCCAGTAGGAAACCTGCTCGTGCGTATTGAGAGTAGAGCAGCAGGATCTCAGTAGAACAGGAAGTGGCTTTCTCTCAGAATGGAGGCAGCCTTTGCACCACTAAGCAATGAGTGCCTTTGTTTTCCGTGGTCAGTCAACTGACTGCAGTATATTTTCTGTTGATATCAAAACAAGGCTGTCAAAAATATTGTAAGGCAGCAGTCTTCGTATACTTGGTGAAGAGGTGGCAGATTTGTTTTTAGAATGAGAACCAACAGTTTCTTTATAGGAATGCAAGCAGGAGATGAATATCTGAAAATATATGACTGTCTAACATAGTAGAGTGGTTGTAGGCTCCTTTATGGGTAAAAGTTTTCAAATAGTATGTACAGCCATCTCTCAGCATGCTGCGTTATTGAAAAATCATTTAGATAACTCTTAAAGCCTCTTTCACCTGTTCGATTGTGCTTTTTTAATTTTGGCGTTTTACTAATGTAACATGGCTATTCTTACATAGAAGGACTTCCAAATTCATTATGTATTAGATTGTACATAAAATATTTTAGACAAGTTACTTCCTCAAGCTTATTTATGCTTATAATTTAATGGATTAAAGCATCAGAGACCTGCTTATGAAAACCAGATGTGTAGCATCTCAAGATTAGGGATATCACAGAACTTGTTAGATTGAGTTAGGACACCATATTCTTAAAGAAATTGATAGAATTGGCCTGATCTCTTTCAGAAAGTTTAATTCTCTCTCTTTTACTGTATTTTTAAGTTGACATTATTTTAATGAGTAGAAATAATTATTTGGTAGTTCTCGAGCTGTCTGTAGTACTTGTTGGACATTTTTGATATTGAGGCAGTGTGCTAAATTTTGCAAGTTTAAAGGATAAGATGCAGTTTCTTGCCATAGAGAGCTTAAATCTAGTGAAGAAGAGAAAGCATGAAAAAAATGAAAAATAATAGTACAAAGTGGCTGCATAAAAGTTGTTTCTACACAGTTGATTTCCAGATGAACAGAGCATAATAAGTGCTGTGGGAATTCAGAATATTGCCTGTGTGTTGTGCTGTTGGTTCATGGAGAGGGCCTCGCTAAACCGTCTGCACAAAACAATCCCGTCCCTCGTGTGTCCTTTCCTAAGACCAAGTGTCAGACAAAAATCTTTTCCCCAGTATTCTAAAAGATAAAAAATATGTGGCTCTTTGTCTTTTGTATAGTCATGGGGGTTGCGGGGCAGGGAAGGGTACGGAATAAAAAACAGATGCAATCAGAATATAGAGTTTTTGGTTTTGTTTTCTGATTTACATGTTTCAAACACATGGTTAAGTTGTATGTGGCTACCACATCTTGATGACTTTGTGAATCAAAAACAAAAATTCTGGCATATTCTTTTATTTCAAGCAAAAATTTTTCCTCTAAAATTTGGTAGCAGTTAGGAAGTTACGGCTTATTTTTACTTCCTGGAAGCTTTGAATACTGTTTTCTCTGGAAAATGCTTTGATATTTTGTCAGTTGCTTTAAAATAACCAAATGCATTTTTGAAGTTCTCTGGTGGGTAAACCATTGATTAATTTTGAAATACCTAATACATTTATATTTTTGTTTTGAAAAATGAAATTTGAAAAGACTACATTGGTTCACGTTTTGTTAAATGCTCTAAAACCTTCCGATTGTCTTGTTGACGTTGTCTAATTTGTATTACAACAAAATTAGATTGCTTTGTGCACTTGTACTCACTTCTGTTCATCCTCGTTATTCTTGAGCTGTCACAGGAAAGTGATACTTGGAAAAGGTCTATATAAAGAAAAAAGGAATTTGATGATGCAGAATTGGACAGCTAACCTCATAGCAACTTTGAGCCACCTCTTTTTTTTTTTTTTTTTTTTTTTTGCATAACCTTTGCTCAAAACTGAAGGATAAAAAAAGTTTTTAGTGATTTATCTATATACCTATCTATGTAGATAAAGATAAATATGTAGATACATGATGACAAGTGAAATATATGCCCTTTGTCTCCACTCTATTCTCCGATTAGTTCGTTGTGAGCCACTTGTTCAGGCATATTTTATAGAAGTGAATTCTATTCATCTAATTAGAGAACAAGTTGGCCTTTTTATGAACTGTCATTTTTGACTTGAATCTGATACTCATTTGTTGGTGGCTTTCAGGCCACAGAAATAAAGAAAACCACTTTTGTGTGCAGATGAGATAGAACTTAATGAGGTTTGAGTGTTTCCTGGATTTGAGCTTTTTCGGTACTATACCCCAGGTGGTCTTAGAAGAGAAACCATCTACTGTGACTGCTTCTGGCTTCTGTCCAGAGAAGATTATCAGCTTTGGTCCAAAAGTTGATTTAAAAGTAGTTTACTTCTTTTTCTCCAAAAAAATATCTACCGTAATTTAATGTCTTTAATACCAGCATTTTCTTCATTTCCTATGGTAGCCAGGACAAATGAACTATTTCAGATCTTTCAAAAACTCTTAGGATGGAATGTAGGAATCTGGACTTAAGTTTTTAAAATAGTGTGTATGAAAAAGTACAAAGAATGGGGCCCTGGCTTTCCTTCTCTTCTCAGAGTGTTCCACAGTAACAGCCTGAAGACAACCCAGGTGCACAAGTTTGTATGTGCCTTAGTGTGTGTACCCAAAGAGACCCTTTCTTAGGTCATATGAACATAAGTTATACACCAACAGTTAACTACTGAAAAACTGAATAAATTTAGTTCAAGTTCTGCCATCCCGCAAAAAATCAGTCAGTAATTAAACTGACTTGCAGTTTTACAACATTTTTAGAGACTTCTTTCAATGTAGATGCTATTATACATACTCATTTGTTTCCTAACCTAATGTGATATTGTGCTGTTTTTAAGGGGCTTTTAAAAAATACGCTGTGTTGCATTTTGCCTTGAAAATAGGCTTTGTTTCTTTTTTGCCTCGTGGCCACAAAAAAAAATGTCCATAATCAATGATCTGTGAATTTCTTGTCTATAAACAAAGCATGTGACTGCTTTCTAATTGTTTTAGAGAATGTGATAGACGTTACTATTATTGGCTTGGAGCATTTTTTTTCCTTAATATATTGGTACTTTTGTCAGCTAGTATTAGTGTAGCCACTGCTGGTCACAGAGCACCTTTAGAAAGCTACCAAAATGATGCTACAAAATGCAGATACCTTCAGGTCTTTACTCAAGTCTGTGTAGAGAGGTCTTTCTTGGTCTCCTTCTCTACTTTTTAACCTGCTTCCCTCTTCTCTCACTATAACACTTCATATTCACCTTCCCTGCTCTATTTTTTTTCTCCTTTAAGATTCATAGTTATCTGACTTTCTGTATTTTTTCTTCTTCATCTTGTTTAGTCTGCCTTCCCACTAAAATGTAAGCTTCCTGAGGACAGGGATTAGTGTTTGTTTTGTTCACTGAATCTGCAGGGCTTAGAACATTGTAGGTACTCAGTAAATATTTGTTAAATGAATGAGAAATGTGGCCTTTACCGTTAAGGAATTGACCTTAATGGTAGAAGTGTAAAGAACCACCTATGTCCTACTTTTTATCCACATTGTAACTATTATGTGAATACCTTGCAAATAAAGCAACATAAGCACAACTAACTAAAGAGACACTTTGTATTGAAACTGTTGTTGTAGGTTTCTGGAATTAATACTCTGAAATTGGCTCCTTCTAGGAAGGCTTGTGAAGAGAGTAGTGTTGAACAGACATGACAATTTCTTAGCATCGTTGGCTAAGAGGAGTAGGACTTCCCAGGCAGAGTGTGACAGAGGAGATGGCTAGGGCTAAGTCAGACAGAATGTGTACAAACCTGTTTTTCTCTGACCTGAGATTCCTGAGAGAATACTGGGAAGGTAACAGTTGTCTGATGAGGAGAGCCAGTTTTGTGAAGAATCAAGAATGAGGAGATTTAATTTGTTACGCAGCTGTCTGGGAACCACGGCAGATTATTAAGAGAGCAAACTTATTCGTCAAAATTACGTCATTCGTAGGTAATTCTTAAGTGCTGTGGATTTCTAGAATGTAGGGAAGCCCACAGAGGTGTCGTAAGGTGAGTATGGCCTAAGGACGTGGCTATGGCCCTGTAGCAAAATGCACAGATGTGAAAAGTGTCTGGAGAAAAGTGCAGCAAAGCCAAACGGTGCCCAAAGGAATGGGAAGTGAAGAGAACTTTTTCCAGGTACAGATTTCAGTCGTTTTGCTGTTAGAATGCTTTATGAAAAGATTAGGAATGGGAATGTAGATGACCAGCTCCTAAATTTTCCAAGTGGGACCGTCATAGAAAAAGCTCTCCTATAGGTATGAAGAAGTCAAGATACGGCCGGGCGCGGTGGCTCACGCCTGTCATCCCAGCACTTTGGGAGGCCGAGGTGGGTGGATCACGAGGTCAAGAGATCGAGACCATCCTGGCCAACATCGTGAAACCCCGTCTCTACTAAAAATCCAAAAAATTAGCTGGGCATCGTGGCGCGTGCCTATAATCCCAGCTACTCAGGAGGCTGAGGCAGGAGAACTGCCTGAACCCAGGAGGCAGAGGTTGCGGTGAGCCGAGATCGCGCCATTGCACTCCAGCCTGGGTAACAAGAGTGAAACTCCGCCTCAAAAAAAAAAGAAGTCAAGATACTACCTAAGTTTCAAGAAGCAGGTTTTTTTTTTTTTCTTTTTGGTCAAAACTAATGACAAATTCTGTCCTCTTGTTTGTATATTTTAACTTAGTAAAACAGGAAACATTTATTCTGTAGAAGACTTTTAAAATGTAGTTTAAACAAGCTGACACATGCTTACTGGTTAATGGAATGTACGTTAACCCCCACCCCAAACACCACTAATTTGCCCTGAACTAACAATTAACTTTTCTTACTTCCTCACTGTCAAAGGAATACCATTCTGGCTTGACACTTTACCTTCTAAATGATAGTTAATCTTTTAAAGTAAGATTTTCTGCTGTGTTCTTGCATATGTCTTACATTTCTTCTTTCATCTTTGCTCACTGAAGAGTATTTTCTCCCATGTTCTAGTCCAGGGTTTGTAAGCCTAGAGCACCATCCTTCATTTTATCTAGCAGCAGCTGAGAATAATAACAGCCATATTTCCATATATGGAGCTCCTCCGAAGGCCTAGGGTGCATTAAGCTTGTTAATTCTTACCACAGCCTAGGTATTAACTTTGTTTTACAAGTGAGCAAACTGAGGCTAGGAGAGAGGAACTGACTTCACACGTTACGTAGCAAGTGCTTGATAGAGCTGGGATTCAGACCCTCTGATCTGTTTGACTCTAAAGCCCGCACGTTTTCCACCACAGGGAACACAGCCCCAGACCTAAGAATACTTAAACACAGCTTTTGTGTGTGGTTTGTTTTTATTTTTTATTTTTATTTTTTATGAACATCTTTGAGCCACCCTTGAATTTTTGGAGTTTCTTGCTAATTTTAATTTTTTGTAAATGTTTCTGTATTTAGATTTTTTAATCCATGAGGTGTAAACTTTAATGTTTTATGCCTTGTATTAATCCTTTATAGTCCACCAAAAATGAAACTTTTTTCTTCCTTCTTTGTAGTGAATATGCTGTCACTGCCTTTTTGGAGAATACTTCTTTAGTTTCAAGTTTTCTTTATTGGACTAAAATTACTTTCCAATTAAAATTCAACTCAGCAAATACTTACTGAATATTTGCCATGTGCTAACTAAAGATAAACAGTGTCTTGGGGGCACAACAGTGAATGAGATACCTGGCCTTAAGGAGCAATTTTATACTCTAGGTCAACAGAAAAACATGTAAATAGTATCTATCACTGCCCCCAAGATGATGCTCCCAGTACCCAAGGCCTTATTGTACATTTCATTTAATTGTGTTGAAAACAAATTCTAAATGTAGAATTTTTCCTAGGTATGCCTTGCAATAGCTCATTATTCCCAGCCAACAGACCTCCAGCTACTCTTTGCATTTGAATATGTTGGGAAAAAATACCACAATTCAGGTAAATATGAAAATATTAAATATTGTGACTAATTTTACATGTATAAATTTTACTCTTATGTTTACCAGAAGCCTCAAAGTACATGAGCTTTAATAATTGTAGAATTATTAGCTTCATACCTTAGAGAAGTAAGCACTATATGCTAAAAGAGCCAATAGTTTGTCAGATTACTTCTTGACAGGTTACCAGGAAGAACCTGTAATGCTATGAACATGAGCTTATGAGTTATGGCATATATTTAACCTCTAGTCATTGGCTTGTATTTTGTGACGGAGAATATGTAACCTGCCCTTTTTAATTGATAGATTGAGTTAAAGTGATCTTACCTTTTAAGAAAGCTGGCAGAAAACTAAAATATGTATTAAAAGCATAATATTTTCTGGCAAGGTGTGATTTCATGGAAAAGTTGAAGTGGTTAAAAACTTTTTGTGGACTTCATTAAGATTCTCAAAATACTTAGTTTCTCTTTTCTGAATAATATGATGAAACGAAGATGAACATTTTTCCAAGGACAGGTATATTCTAGGCAGTTTTTGTGAAAGTAAATAGTTTTGTCTATGTGTCTAACAGTCATGACATGACGAAGGAAGATTCCAGATGATCATACAATTCTGTACATTGTTTCTATACAAATGTAATTTTAATAAACCATTTTTTTAAATCTCTTAAAAGGATAGAGAAAAACAAAGAGCTGTGTCTCCTGTTAGCCCCTTTGTCAGTTAGTGACTGCACATCAATTAACTGAGTGAAGCATGTGTTCTTTTACTGTTTAAGTAACAAAAATAAATCAGCTGTGTATTTATAATGAAAAATCCATTCACCCAGCATGGTTGGACCATACAAATAAATTATTAACTGTACTGACATTCTCTATTTTGTTACCCTAAAACATATGGTAGTAATTTAAATAACTGGTATAATAAAAGTCTGTTCCAGCAAAACTGTAACTATATTGTAAACACATTAAAATGTAGCAGTGTATGGTGCCTGAAGATGCATGTGTGTAAGTCAGTTTTCTATACCTTAAAAGATACTTACCGTGCGCTTAAGCACTAAGAGGACCAAAGGAAAAAAAAAAAAAGAAACGTAACACCGTAGAGATGATATATGAAAATCATGCTTTGCAGAACAGCTTTTATCATTTGGTATTATATTTATAGAAATTGTATAGCAAAAGTATTTGTAACTTAATTTTTCTTTTCAAGAGGTACGTAATTGTAACTTAGGCTTAAGCAATAGTTATTTTTGAGAGTTTATTTCTTAGTAGTAAATAAATTCACTTACTGTCTGAAAATAAAGTATTTTCAGAAGATAGATATAGATCCTGCACTGTTAGTCAGGTAAACACTCCTTGGAATCATTATCAGGCTGGAGAACAGAGATCAAGGTTGTCTTCACTAAGATCCTCACCTAGAGTTGCAAGAGTTATAGGAATGATTATTTGATTCCTGCTTAAATTTTTATGATACAGACTAGTTCTTCATACTGCTATTTTTTTTCCGATAGAAATGATTGATTCCAGTGTATAGATCCATAACTTCTACAGTAACATAGTGACTTGGGCTCAGCAAAGACAGTAAACTTTGTTATACAATTGGTAACCTGATGCCTGCTTCGTGGCAGTGCCTCCTGTGGAAATGCTTTCCATATTTTTCTTTGTTCATTCCTTGTGGGCATCTCTGGTTTATAGTACTGAAGTTTATCCACCCATAGATAGGTCTTCTACTACTGGAATTTTAAAATTTACTTCATTTAGTTCCTTTGTTTCTTCTCATATAGCTTATTGATAAAATTTGATGATTAATACTTAAAATAGGGATACTTTTTTATATTACATCTTTCAGACTCCTCCTTTGACAAGTACTTCATAAACATAACACTGGCCATAGTTTTGTTAAGATTCCTCATAGGGTAACATCCTTTAATATCCTTCCATGCTGTTACAGAAGCATAAATACTGCATCTTTAAGATCAAAAGGAGCCTGAAAGTTCCACACACTGCAGTCAGAATTCATTAATTTGTGAGTGAAAGATGTCCACTCTCCCACTCTTGAACTTCTGGATGACATCTTGATTCATTGGCTGGATTAAAGAAGTCCTTTTTGCAGGCAGGTAGGTGACAAAGCTGTTTCCACAAATAAGATCCAAAGTTGGAGGAGCTCCCTTGCAGTTATCTAAGAAAACTATATTTTAGCTGGCCTTAGTCAGTCAGGTTTTCATTCATACTCAGCATGCCATGAGTAACAGCCATCTCTGAAAGGTCCTGCAGTCATTGCAATACTTCTGAGAGTATTCGCGAGTACAGTGAGATGTGTAGCACCCACCTATGCACAAAAACCCCAGTAATTCTGTTTTTTCTCTTCTTACTTTAAAGAAACCATGAGGACTCTTAATCAGTCAGATTATTATTGGGCAAATAATGTCAAAAAAAGTACAGGTTCAGCCAGGCACAATGACTCACGCCTGTAATCTCAGCACTTTGGAAGGCTGAGACGGGCGGATCACCTGAGGTCAGGAGTTTGAGACCAGACCAACCAACATGGAGAAACCCCATCTCTACTAAAAACACAAAGTTAGCTGGGTGTGGTGGCACACGCCTGTAATCCCAGCTACTCAGGAGACAGGCAGGAGAATCGCTTGAACCCAGGAGGTGGAAGTTGCGGTGAGCTGAGATTGGGCCATTGCTCTCCAGCCTGGGCAACAAGAGCAAAATGTCATCTTAAAAAAAAAAAAAGTACAGATTCATCTTTTTTACATAATTGATAAAATGTCAGATTATGCTTCTGGACTAAAAATATTGAAAGCTTCATGAAGTTATCTGCAGCCTTAGTGTCAGCAGCTCTGCTTCATGACAGACATCCTGCTTCCAGATGCTGTGATGCAATCTGAAGGTGTAACAAAATTTCACATCAGTGTATAATGCACATTATAGTTGTACATTTTCAGTGAAATTTAATTAACATACATCTTGGTTTTAGATTTTCCTTAAAATGCTTATTTGAAAAACACGAGGTACACAATCCATTTGAAACAGTATAGGAATTTTTAAAGTTTGTTACTTGTCAGTTCTTGCAAGATTCTCAGTATAGCTATAAATGATTGTCTCTTGAAAATCGTTGGTTCCAACCAGCTACATACATCAGGATCACTGGAGGAGCCTTTAGAAATACAGCCATGTTGGCTCCAGCATAGGTTAGAATCTTCCAGTTAAGAACCAATTTGTTGACTCACGCTTTTGAACTTATTAATAATCACAGTCTTCTTTTTACCTTACTATTTTATGACTTCTAATTTTTACAGTGTCATCAGAGTGATAGACTTTCTTTTCATATGTTGACGACTTGTATTTTCTGTTGCTTGAAGCCATTCTAAATATCAATTAGGCCAATTCAGTGGAAATCCTTTAAAGTAACCCCAACAGTATAGGATTAGACTTTTGTACTGTATCACAGAAGGTAGCCAAGGTCAGGAGCATGTAGTATCTATTTGACTCTTGATCTGCTGAGGAGCTGTGTCATAAAACCTCAGGCAGGTAACAGTCAGCAGAGCCAGGTCTGCCTCAGATGACCCACCTTGTCACTTTGTTGGTTCAACTTTTCATAGTGATCCTCTCATAGAGCAGGCCACTTGTATCAGGTTTTTTGAACTTTGGAAAGCATTTGAACTCCTGGACTATAAAACCAGATTGAGTATACATTATACACACTGCAGCCCAAAACACTAAAAAATATTCAGTGCTAGATTCAGTCACCAAACTGTTTTACGTAACTTAAAATTTTCAGTGTTCTTTATAATTCTTTCTTGGTGGTGGTGTTTTTATTGTGTGGCTAGTTCCTCTGGTTCAGTGTTGAATAGCAGTAACATTAGCAGGCATCATTTCAGTTCCTGCTTTTAATGAGGATGCTGTTAGCTATTACTTTTTGATAAACACCCTCTCTCTGATTAAGGAAATTTCCTGTTATTCCAAATTTGCTAATGATGGTTTTTTGTTTTACATTTTTTTTCTTTCTTTTTTCTTTTTTGTAATCAGGTATGTAACTCTTGTTTTTCTGCACTTACTAAGCTATATAGTTGTTTTCCTCTTCTGTCACGTGATGAATTACTTAGATTGTCTAATACTGACTAGCTTCCCATGTTTTGGTACGCTGGAGCACTGTATAGGTTGGGCTTTGCTCAAAAATCCCATGTAGGTTTTGTGTTCTGGAGAGATCACAGCTCCTAAGTCCTCCTCACAGACACGCTTTTTAGTTGTGTTAATCCAGAGAAGGCACTGAGATGGAGTGGGACTCTAGGATATGGGCTTAGAATTAGCATTTTATTTTTTAATGAGCTTTATTAAAATCAGAATCACTGGATAATTCTGATACCATTTAGCGGAGTCCAAGTCCCTAACATGATACATAAGCCCCTCCATAATCTGGAGCAGCACTGTCCAGTGATGGGAGTAGGGCAGCCACTGGCCACATGTAGCCGTTATACACTTGAAATGTGGCTAGTGTAAAAGCCGGGCGCGGTGGCTCAAGCCTGTAATCCCAGCACTTTGGGAGGCTGAGGCGGGCGGATCATGAGGTCAAGAGATCGCGACCATCCTGGTCAACGTGGTGAAACCCCGTCTCTACTAAAATTACAAAAAATTAGCTGGGTATGGTGGCGCGTGCCTGTAATCCCAGCTACTTAGGAGGCTGAGGCAGGAGAATTGCCTGAACCCAGGAGGCAGAGGTTGCGGTGAGCCGAGATCGCGCCATTGCACTCCAGCCTGGGTAACAAGAGCGAAACTCCGTCTCAAAAAAAAAAAAAAAAAAGAAATGTGGCTAGTGCAACTGTGGGATTGAATTTTTAATTTTATTTTTCATTTCAGTTTAAATTTAAATGGGCATGTGTGACTGCAAGTTATTTTTCAGGGAAGCACAGACCTGGAGCCTAGGCCCTGTTTAATCTCCCAGCCTCTTTTCTGCCACCTCTTGAATCCCTAATGCACTAGCTATGTTTAGTTACTTCATGTCAAACAGTTACACCATGTTTTTTACATTCTTCTCTGTCTAGCATGCCTACCTTCTCCTCACCAGCTACCTGGCAACTTCTGACTTTTTCCGTAGAACTCTCTTTAGATGTGGTCAAGTCATGAAGCTTTTCCTGCCCCAGCCTCTCTCCGGTGAGAGTTAGGGGCCTTCTCTTCTGCATTCTCATTGCACTGAGACATCTGATACTCTGTAATTGTTGCATTTCTTAGTGCTTTCAAGATAGAGTTAAAATCTCACTCATCTTTTTGCTCTGAGGCATTAGCACATGGGGAGTTCTCAGAAAATACCTGTCTTGTACCAGGAGTTAATCAATAATCAATAGGAATGGACATGACAGGTTCGTGGGACAGTGGAGGGTATTGCATGGCTGCAGAGGAGAATGGGAAATGAAGATCAGATAAGTTATGTGAGGGATCTTTAAGGCCAAGAAAAGCCACTGTGGTTTACTTGATTCAGTTGAAAAATGAGCATGATTGAAAGTTTAAGGCAGGAGACTAGCATCATGAATGCATCTTTTTAGGGAAGTGTGTCTTGTGGTAAGCTGCTGCCTGGTTTAAATGCAGCAGAACATCCCATTGGGGATGCCAGCTGGGAGACTTGCCATAATTGCAACCTGCAACAGAAAGACCCTAGACTAGAATGGGTTGTGCCATCTGTCACCAGATACTGCCAAGATAGATCTGGCTGGGTGGTGGGACAGCTTCCTTCTCAGTAATCACTTTGCAGGCACTCTTGAGGCTGTGGGCATACTCCTTGAAGATAGCATTACTTCTCTCTCAGAGAAGGCTTCTTACTAAGGAATTGCAGGTCACTAGGCCTGCCCTGCTGTAACCTCCATGTGGGAACAGCACTTTAGCAAAGCACAAGAATCCTTAGGAGCTTTTCAAAGGAAAATCAAGTAGATACAGAAAACCAAGAATTTTCTCATGAGCAGATAGAAAAGAGTAGGTAGGTGAGAAGTTGGTGTTAGAAAAAATTAAAGATTTGAAGGCTTGAGAACATAGATGATTGTTGGATATTTCATTTTTCCAAGCAAAATATATGGCAAAAATAATCAAATGACATGGATTTACCCCACAGTTAGTGGCAGGCAGATGAGGAAGGGTTAGGAGTAATTCCTATTAGAATGGTAGGGATGGAGGACAATTAAAAATTAACAAGAAAATGAGAGGAAATACAGGAAGCAGCCATTCTTCATTCTCGGGGAAGGTGGTTAGTAAAAGGAAGGAAGAAAAATGTATAGTGTAGTAGCTAGAGTGGTCCAGTGTGATCAGATCCAAGTCTTCTGAATATCATGTTGACTGACCTGTTTACGTTTGAAGGCAAAGGAGATAGAGCCAGTATAAGGAGAGAAAAATCAAAGCTGTTTAAAGAGTTGGGAAAGAGCTGGATAAAGACAAGACTCAATGAGTTATTTTTAGGCTGGGCGCAGTGGCTCATGCCAGCACTTCGGGAGGCCGAGGCCGGTGGGTCGCCTGAGGTAGGAGTTGGAGACCAGCACGGCTAACGTGGCGAAACCCCATCTCTAAATACGAAAATAAGTACTAGTCCCAGCTACTCAGAAGGCTGAGACAGGAGAATGGCTTGAACCCAGGAGGAGGAGGCTGCACTGAGCCAAGATCATGCCACTGCACTCCAGCCTGGGCGACACGACGAGACTCTGTCTCAAAAAAAAAAAAAAAAAAGTTTATTTTTAGATGGAAAGAGCAAGACATTTCATGGAGAGACTCGGAAGGTGAACCAGTTTAGAGACAGCACATCAGAGTATGCATATGACAGGAGGCTCAGAAAGAGGAGAGGGAATGCTGGGGAAAATGTGACTTAAAATTCATAATGTTGCTTTTTCCTACAGCCAGCAAAATTAATGGAATTCCCTCAGGAGATGGAGGAGGAGGAGGAGGAGGAGAAGGAGGAGAAGGTAATGGAGGTGGTGTTGACAGCAGCCAGAAAACTCCACTCTTTGAAATTTACTCAGATTGGGACAGAGAAATCAAGAGAACAGCTGCTTCTGGGTGGAGAGTTTGTTCTGTTAACGAAGGTTACATGATATCTACTTGGTAAGCCCAATTTTAGCAATGTTACATGCAGCTGGAAGTCACTTTCCTATGAAGAATAATCAAACTCAGTTGTCATTGACGACTTTCTAGTTGTGGTTAATGGAATATTTGTTTTTAATAATGTTCTAATGAATATTTTAAAGATGAGGGCTTCTTGATATAAATTACAGTGTCCCTTAAAAATAAGTTGGTAGTGATTCCTTACTGTCATCAGTGATCTCGTCAGTGTTTATTGCATTGTATCTTGTAACTGGTTTTTTACAGTTGGTTTGTTCAGATCAGAATCTAAAGTCTTCACATTGAATTTTTTAAAAAATTATGTCCCTTAGGCCTTTTAATCTACAGCAGTCTCCTCCCACCTCTTCTTTACCTACTGTCTGTTGACTAACCAGGTCATTTGTTCCCTGGAATTTTCCACATTGAAGATACTTCTGGTTTTATCCCCATGCTGTCCCTTAATGTGTTCCTCTGTCTCTAGTATTTCCTTTAAGATGTTAGCAACAGAGGCTTAATTGGATTCAGGCTCAGTGCTTTTGGCAAGAGTGTTTCATTAGGTGGTGCTGTGTTCTCCTGTGGGGTCACATTCCATCTCAGGCTGGCTGGCTGTGTCTCTCTCATTGTATAATGCTGACTGACCAGTGGGCTTAGAGGCTGTCAACCTGATCCATCCAGTAAAAGTTCCCCTTTTATATCATGGTTTTAATTCCCAAAAACAGTTTTGCATTGGGAGGGAGGATCATTGCCCAGATCTGTTATTTCACTAAGGATTGAGATTGTTCACCTTTTATCTTTCTGTTTTTATCGAACTTTTCTGTCACCAGCTCTTGAGTGCCCTGTAGCACAGTTCATACAAGAAAAGCAATATAAATATCTACATTTTTTTCCTTAACAGTTTTCCGAATAGTGAGCTGGTTCCCTAGGGAATCTTCTAGAAGTGACTAGGAATTTGTTTTTTTAATTTGTTTAATGTCATCTAGTTATTATGCATTTTCTGGAATGCCTCATTTCAAGATCATTGAAGTCCTCATTAGTTTATGCAAATAAGCAGCTTTTTAGAAGAAAGAGAAAACACTACTCTGTTATTACTAGTTAATCCAGTACCAAGAACTTCTTGTACAGTTTTAGAAAGGTTCTTTGCAGCATGTCGCTTGTGTCTTCTGCTTCCCCTGGAATTTAAGCTTCATGGCCAGCACGCTCTGGTGTATGAACTGAGAAACATGTGACGGGCTGCCCAGCCACGTCGGGGGAAGCAGGAGGATGTCTTAAAGTGTAGTGAGCTTGCCAACTGGTAATTGTTGTCTAATCGGTGTCATAGAGTCTGACTTGCCTTTTGGGGATGCGGAAAGGTGAAAGAGGGACTTAAGAGGAGAGTTAAAGCTTATGGTAGATTTTTGGGGTTTTCTTTTGTTTCCCTGGCGTCTTCTTAAACCGTAGCCTGTCAAGAGAACAAAGGTGGATATAGTTTTCAGCTAACACAGACATGTTTGATTAATAAGTCATTCTGGAAAATATTTATAATACCTTCTTTGGAATTTTGTCATGCTGTAAATTTCAATTTTTAAGAATTGACCGTATTGCACGTTTTAGATTAAGATGTCTGGGATTGTCACTGCCCCCCATGGTGCCTACCATGTGGCTACTAGTGTGATATACATTAAATGGGGATACATGTGTTTAATTATTTATGGGGTCTTCAGGATCACATTATTCCTGCTTTTTTAGCACAGGACTCATGTATAATGTTGTTGTTTTTTTTCCCTCCAGCCTTCCAGAATACTTTGTAGTACCAAGTTCTTTAGCAGACCAAGATCTAAAGATCTTTTCCCATTCTTTTGTTGGGAGAAGGATGCCAGTAAGTGATTTCTGTTGGATTTTATGAATGCTGACATCCATTGTTTCTACACAGTGAAGTAAGGACTCTGCCTCTCCCCTAGCTCTGGTGCTGGAGCCACTCTAACGGCAGTGCTCTCGTGCGAATGGCCCTCATCAAAGACGCACTGCAGCAGAGGAAGATTGACCAGAGGTAATCAAGAAATGGTGTCACTTTAGATAGTTTTACTTGTCATGTGTAAGTACAGTGAGTTGCCCACTAATTGAAAATAGTTAGCAAAACGCATAGTCTTTTAGTCAGTTAGCACCATGTTTTGTATAAGAATTGCCATTTTCTCCACATCTCTCCAGCGTCTGTTGTCTCCATATTTTTTAATGATCGCCATTCTAACTGGCATGAGATGGTATCTCAGTGTGGTTTTGATTTGCATTTCTCTAATGACCAGTGATGATGAGCAGTTGGGGAAGGATAGCATGGGGAGAAATACCAGATACAGGTGATGCGGAGGAAGGCAGCAAATCACACTGCCATGTATATATGTACGCAACGATCTTGCATGTTCTTCACACGTACCCCAAAAACTAAAATGCAATTAAAAAAAAGTCTCCAATCTCAAAAAAAAAAAAAAAAAAAAATTGCCATTTTGAAAAGAATGTGATTATATTAAAATTAACTGACAGTGGAGTTATTGTAATTTAATTGGGTGCTGTCATCTTGCTGTAACGTTTCCTGTAACATACTTTCAAAGTGCAGTGATAGCCAGTTGAGATACTTCAGGATAAATCAAGCTTCTTGTAGTTTGATGTGTCTTATTTAGATGTACACATTTGCAATAGCTAGAACAGTGGTTTTGATTGGCCACCACAGACTAGTCTGGGATCCTCTGCTGTGGTCATCAGGAACCTCCGTGTTGTTAAAGCAGGAGGACTTTCTCGGTTGTGTTCAGAGCAGTGGGGAGTACTGTTGGTCAGTCTCTCCTTAAAGCTGCCTACGCCCTCAGCCTCTGTCCCTCTCTGTACTCCCGAAGCTCCTGTTCCTTGCTGGCACTGTGTGCCTTCTGTAGACCCATCCTTTTCTCTCCAGACATTATACAGATTCTAAGGCCGCTTCTTCCTCATGTTCTGTATTCCTTTCCTAAAGGAGTTCCCCCAAGAATATGGCTTTAGTGGCCAGCACATTTATATCTTCAGTCTAACTTGACTTCTACATGGAGGTCTCAAAGGCCCTTTAAACTTACTGTGTCTAAAACCAAACTCAAGGATGTGGCCTCCATGCCCTCCCCCAGCCTGCTCTCAGAAACCAAAGGGTCATCCTGGATGCCTTCCTCTTTCTTTCTATTCCCCATCTCCAGTTCCTCCTCAGATTTTGTCACTTCACTTTTCAGACACCTTACAAACCCGTGTGCTTCCACCAAGCTCCAACTCTGCCTGTGTGTTACAAGTGCCATCATTTCATCCTTCCACCTGGACTTTCCCTGGTGTTTTCAACCTCCTGACATTGTCCAGTGCTCTTCCCTTCTGGACTCCTCCTTTGCGCTCATCTGGGAACACTCTCCACACTTATCCACTTGGACTCACTTGTTCTTTTTTTTTTTGAGACAGAGAGCAGTCACCCATGCTGGAGTGCAGTGGTATGATCTCAGCTCCTGGTTTTAAGTGATTCTCATGCCTGAGCCTCCTGAGTAGCTAGGATTACAGGCACCCACCACTACATCTGGCCGTTTTTTATATATTTAGTAGAGACAGCGTTTCACCGTGTTAGTCAGGCTGGTCTTGAACTTCTGACCTCAGGTGATCCACCTCAGCCTTCCAAAGTGCTGGGATTACAGGAATGAGCCACCCTGTCCAGCTCACTCACTCATCCTTTACATCTCAGTTTAAGCATCACTTCCTCAAGAGCTTTGCATGGCTTCTCTAATCATTAGGTTTCAACTTTCGTGCCATCTTCACAGGGCAGTATTTTTGACTGTGTGACCTAAATTAAATTAGCCTGTAATCCCATGATTAATTACATCATCCGTGTCATTCACCACAGCCCATTTATTTGATTGTTACTATCTACCCCACCACCACCAAGAACATCAACTAAAATTGGAGTGATATCAGAGAAGATTAGCATGGCCCTTGCACAAAGATGACATGCAGATTCATGAAACTTAAATATTTTAATGAAATGAGAGCATATTCATGTTGATTAGTTGATTTTTAAAAATCAGTTTATCAAGCAAATGTACAGTGTACATTTGTACATTCAATTCCATATATGTGTACATTCAATTCCGTAAAGGTACATAGAAGAAATCCAGAAAGATTTATGTCAAAATTTTAGAATTCTGAGTGATTTTATTTTTATCTTTTTAAGGTGTTTTTAAACATTCCACACTGATTTATATTACTTTATTCAGGAAGAAAAATAGCAGTTTGTTTTTGTTTGTTTGTTTTAGTGGTGTGGAAGTTACTCCTTGAATATAGATGGGAATGACAGTTTTCTGGCTGTTGCCTTTGAAAACATCTAGAGACCCCATGGCGCACATTTATAGCAGCTCGTTCTCGCCTAAGAATAGAGGGAGGGTGGGAGGGATTTGGGGGAATGTCTGTGCTTGCAGTTCATCCCGCAGCAAATCGTTAAGCCTGGGGATAGGTGCTCTGCATTCTCTCGAGCTGGAGAATGTGCGTCTGCTTTGCCATCCTTCTGTCTACATCACGTGGAAAGATGTGGCAGTGAGGGGTCTCCTCAATCTAAATGCCACGCCGCCCACTCAGCAGTGTTCCTGTTTCCTGGGCAAGTGTTCCAATGGATGTGCTTATTTTCTCCCATCAGAAATAAGGGAATGGTCGAATTCATTCTGTCCACTGCACGTGGGGGTGGGGGTGATGTGAATGGCAGCATTCTGCCGTAGTCAAAACCAGAGTCGTGTGAGAAGTTGGATGATAAGAGGGAAACAAAGTTTACTTGTCTTCCTCTCAATTTCGCTCTCAGTTTCACCAGGATAGAGAAAAATCATGCAAAGAAACCTGAGGGGAATAGTCTCTACAACTAAAAAATAAGCATTGGTTCTGTCTTAAAAAGAAAAAAAAAAAGTGAACTCCGTGAAGACAGAGACCTTACCTGTCTCATTCCTCTCTCTATCCCCAGCTGTTAGAATAATGCCCTGGCCTGTAGTGAGTGTTAAATAAATACATGCTAAGTGAATGAGTAATGACTAAAGGATTTTTGTCTTTATTAGGATTTGTAATGCAATAACTAAAAGTCACCCACAGAGAAGTGATGTTTACAAGTCAGATTTGGATAAGACCTTGCCTAATATTCAAGATGTACAGGCAGCATTTGTAAAACTGAAGCAGCTATGTGTTAATGGTAATTTCATTCTTATTTCATACATGTAATGAACACAGGATACAGAATCGTATGAGATGTCATGAAAAGTGATGTGCCTTTAAATATATAGGAATAGATATATTTAAGAAGTCTATGGAAGTATTTGTATGAATTATTTATTATTGTATGAGAACTTCAGAACCTCCTAGGGAATTCAGTTTAAACTACTTTTTGTTTTAGAAAGAGAAAAATGAATGTATTAAATTTCCTTCAAATCATGAAAGGTATAGTAGAATACTTTTATAAAAGCATTTGCTGAGTAGAACACTGTATTACCTTACAGACAAACTTACTAAGATTTTAATGCATGTGGTTATACTTTGAGATAGGTAAGTGGACATGGGTATCAAACAGCTGTGTTGTATCTGTAGCCTCAAGTTCTGATATATGAGCAAACATCAGGTGGCTTCAGTGTGTCCTGGGTGATGAGTCATATAACAGCATCTTTGGTGTAATGTGGGTCCTCCTTGAGAGAGCCTCTTTAAGTCACGAGGGAGTTGGCAAAGGCAGCCTTGCAGCAGATCTTGAGCAATGAGTGAGCACTTCCCTGGGGGAGGGCCTTGCAGGGGCCGGGCAAGGGCAAGTTGTTGAAAGAACGAGTGTGCAGTCTGGGCAGGAATTAACTGAAGGTGCCTCTCATCATGCACTGCTCAGCCCTCAGGCCACATGAGCCATGCAGAAAGGCAGCACTGGCAGCAGGGGAGGGACAGGGAAGCAGGAAGGCAAGGCTTGCAGTGAGGAAGCCGAGGGCTAGGCCTGGGCACCTGACCTCACAGGTCAGGAGGGCTGGGATCAAGGCATGGGCTGAGCAGGGAAGGGTGGAATTCCTAGTTGTTGGGAGTCAGAGTTGGTTGGACTTCTAAGATTTTTCTGAAAGAACGAGAGAGAAGATGATGGAGTCCCAGGGGAATGCTTTGTTTTCTTTTGTTATAGAATTGTAAACGTCTTTTTTTTTTTTTTTTTTTTTTTTTTTTGAGACAGAGTCTCACCCTGTCACTGGGCTAGAGTGCAGTGGTATGATCTTGGCTCACTGTAACCTCCACCTCCTGGGTTCAAGCCATTGTCCTGCCTCAGCCTCCCAAGTGGCTGGGACTACAGGTGCCTGCCACCACACCCAGCTAATTTTTGTATTTTTAGTAGAGACAGGGTTTCACCATGTTGGCCAGGATGGTCTCCATCTCTTGACTTGGTGATCTGCCTGCCTCGGCCTCCCAAAGTGGTGGAATTACAGGCGTGAGCCACTGCGCCCAGCCCAGAAATGTCTTCTTAAATGTTTATTTCATGTTATTAAAGTGAAAATGCATGATATTTACTTAAAGCCAGCTTTTAAATATTAGAAACTGATGTATTGCTTAACTCTGATAGAGATTATATAAAATAAAATTAAAAAGTAAAAATGTATGTGTATAATGTATTACAGAGCCTTTTGAAGAAACTGAAGAGAAATGGTTATCTTCACTGGAAAATACTCGATGGTTAGAATACGTAAGGTTTGTACCAGTTCTTTACTTTCTTTTCCTTTAACTTTTTATTTTGGGATAATTACAGACTCACTGGAGGTACAAAAATAGCACAGAGAGCCATGTACTTACTCTTCATTCAGCTTCCCCCAGTGGTAACAAGCATCTCATAACTAGAGTACAGCATCCAAACCAGGAAGCTGACACCGATTGGCACACTGGATAGATCTTACTCACCAGGTCGTACATGCTCTCGTATGTGTGCATGCACTTGACAGAGCTCTGTGATTTTATCACGTGTAGATGCACGTAACCACCACCACAGGAAGGTATAGAACTGTTCCGTGGCGAGGCTCCCCTGTGTCTGTTGGGTACCACTAATCTCAATCTCTATAGTTTTTGTCATAAGTCAACCCCTTCCTTTTTATAAAGGGTTAATGAATTTCCCTGATATAAAAATTACAAAATGGGGCCGGGCATGGTGGCTCATGCCTGTAATTCCAGCACTTTGGGAGGCTGGGGTGGGTGGATTACCTGAGGTCAGGAGTTCGAGATCAGCTCGGCCAACATAGTGAAACCTTGTCTCTGCTGAAAGTAAAAAAAAAATTAGCCAGGCATGGTGACCTGTGCCTGTGTAGTCCCAGTTACTCAGGAGGCTGAGGCAGGAGAATCACTTAAACCTGGGAGCAGAGGTTGCAGTGAGCTGAGATTGTGCCACTGTACGCCAGCCTGGGCAATAGAGCAAGACTCCATCTCAAAAAATATATATATACAAAATGGGGCTGGTTATGGTAACTCATGCCTGTAATTTCAAAGCTTTGGGAGGCTGAAGGAGGAGGATCACTTGAGGCCAGGAGTTGACAACCAGCCTGAGCAACATAGTAGGACTCCCCATCTCCACAGAAAAATTTTAAAACTAGCCAGGCATGGTGGCACGTGCCTGTGGTCCTAGCTACTCAGGAGGGTGACGCAGGAGGATCACTGGAGGCCAGGAATTCAGGGTTACAATAAGCTATGATAATGGCATTGCCCTCCAGTGTGGGTGACAAAATGAGATTTTGTCTTTTAAAAAGAAAAAAAAAGTTACAAAAAGTACTCTTTGGAGGAGTCATAGAAATACTAAAGAAACTTTACAGTAAGATGAAAGCTACCTGCATTCAGTAGAAAGCAGCCAATTCTCTCTCTTGATGCTGAGCAGCAGCAGTGAGCCACGGCTGTCGGTCAGCCATGCATTTTCAGTTTAGGATATTTTTAGCTTACAATGGATTCATCAGGACTTAAGTCATGATAAGTTAAGACATAGTCATGATAAACCCATTGAGTCATAGTGGATCATGACTCATGAGAACATCATGAGTCAAAGAGTATGGGTAAAGTGAGAGAAATTAGATTTGCTTGACTTCAAGTACTTTAAATATGTATTTGTAGTGGAAATTTGATTGTTAACACTATTTTTTCTTTTCTCTCTGCAGGGCATTCCTTAAGCATTCAGCAGAACTTGTATACATGCTAGAAAGCAAACATCTCTCTGTAGTCCTTCAAGGTAACTAAAGTAACTCCTGAAAGCACCATGACCACCATGCCAGCCAACTGTGGTTTACTGCTTGTCCCATTCAAGTTTTAGCTATCTCTTATTTACTACAGTACCAGCAAATACATTACAGATTTTGCACATCATTTGAGTAAAATAGTGACACGAGCTGGGCACACTGGCTCAAGCCTGTAATTCCAGCACTTTGGGAGGCTGAGGTGCGTGGATCACTTGAGGTCAGAAGTTCAAGATCAGCCTGGCCAATAAGGTGAAACCCCGTCTCTACTGAAAATACGAAAATTAGCCAGGCGTGGTGGTGTGCACTTGTAGTCTCAGCTACTTCGGAGGCTGAGGCAGGAGAATCACTGGAACCTCGGAGACAGAGGTTGCAGTGAGCAGAGATCACACCACTGCACCCCAGCCTGGGCAACACGGGGAGACTCTGTCTCAAAAAAAAAAAAAAAACAGTGGCACAAAGACTGAAAATAGAAGAATAGAAGGGAGTCCAGGTTTTGCCCTTTATTAAATTATCCTTCCTATTTGATGGGAAGGGTGGGTCCCATCCTTTATTGGATTAATACTTAGTGATAATTTTGACAGGGCATTCTCTCTAATTTTGCTGTCTTTCTAATTCATACAAATTTGTTTTAGTTTAAATACTTTCTGGCTCATGCTAAATTATGACTGTAAGGGAATAGTTTGATGTTAAGAAATAGACTGAATAGCTAGTAATGTAATATTTGGTAGGAATAAACAGCAATGTAAAAAATCTTACAGTTAAGCAAAGGATAGTATTAAATAACTTTATAGCTAATAAAATTTCTAAGTTTGCAGATAGACTAAAAACCACCTTCTGATAATACAGTAGGCCCTTTTTATCCATGGGTTTCCCATCTGTTGTCAACCAACTCAGGATTGAAAATACTGGGGGGAAAAATTTCAGCCATACTGAACATGAACAGACTTCTTTTCCTTGTCATTATTCCCTAAACAGTATAGTATAACAACTATTTACATAGCATTTACATTGTATTAGGTATTATAAGTGATCTAGAGGTGATTTTAAGTATTCGTGGATCTTGGTATCCAAGGGAGGTCCTGGAATGAGTTCCTCATGGATACTGAGGACGACTGTATATTCATGTAGCATAGTGTATGAATACAAAATGTTGCTTAAGCTTGAAGAAGCACTTTTTTTTCTGAAACCTAGTTTTTACTTTTGTCACCTAGGCTGGAGTGCAGTGGCACAGTCTTGGCTCACTGCAACCTTCACCTCCTGGGTTCAAGTGATTTTCCTGCTTCAGCCTCCCAGGTAGCTGGGATTACAAGTATACAGTGCCATGCCCAGCTAATTTTGTGTTTTTAGTAGAGACAGGGGTTTCACCCGTGTTGGCCAAGCTGGTCTCAAACTCCTGATCTTAGGTGATCTGCCTCAGCCTCCCTAAGTGCTGGGATTATAGGCATGAGCCACTGCACCCAGCCAAGCTTGCAAAAGTAACAACTGTCAAACTTAATTGACTTTGATGAGGCAAAAATCTTTAAAACTTTTAGGAAAAAAATAAAATAGTAATGTGTCATATAAAGTAATCCTGAACTGATGCAGCCAGAGTGTGTGTTTAACTCACAAATGCATGCAGAGCCTAATAGTCACGGTTTCTCTCTCATCCAGTGGGTCTTCTCATCATACTGGAGAACCCTATTTATCCTCCCATTTCTCCATGCATTTGTAATACAAAAGGCCTCAGAAGTAGTACTGAACCTTCATTTTACTAACATTTTTGTATTAAACAGTTTAGTTAAAATTTAAATACTATAAAATTCACTCGTTTTTGAATTTGTAATTCGATAATTGTTAGTAAATATACAGAGTCTAGTTTTAGAAATTTTTCATCACCCCAAAAAGACCTGTGTCCCAGCTCTAGGCAGTCACTAATCTTTCTGTCTGTAGATTTTCCTTTTCTCAGCATTTCATATAAATGGAATCATACAATTTGTGGTCTTTTGCCTCTGGCTTCTTTCATTCAACATACGTGTTTTTGAGGTTCGTTCATGTACGAATCAGCAATCTGTTCCTTTTTATTTCTGAATTGTATTCCACTATTTAAATGCATTTTGCTTACCCATTTGCCTGTTGATTGGCTTTTCAGTTGTTTCTTCTGTGTGGCTGTTATGAATTATGCTGCTCCATTTATTTAATTTTTCATTTTATCAGCAGTGTTTTATTGTGCAAGTCTTATGCTTATTTTGTTAAATCTCTTAAATAATATTACTGTGAATATAATTAATAATTTCATTTTCAGGTTTATAGCGTGCTCAGATTGTTGTGTATCGAATTTCTGTGACCTTATGGCTCTCATTTATTAGTTCTAGTGGTTATTTTGTGGATTGCATAGGAGTTTTTACATATAGGATCATATTGTCTGCAAGTAACAGTTTTTACCTTTTTCTTTCTGATCTGGATGCCTTTTATTTTCTTTTTCTTGCCTAATTGCTCTGGCTAGATTCTCCAGGACAATCAGATGGAGATGTGTAGGGAACAGACATCCTTGTCGTCTTCCTGATGTTAGGGAGAGAGGATCCAGTCTTTCACCAATGAGAATAACATTAATTGTAGTTTTTTTGTGGATGTCTCTGGTCAGTTTAAAGAAGTTCCCTTTTATTCCTAAACAGGAATGAATGTAGAATTTTACTACATCTGATAAGATGATCGTGTTAGTTTTGTCCTTTATTTTATTACTGTGGTATGTTACTATGATTGACAAATGTTAAACCAACTTTGCATTCCTGGATAATTGGGTTTAGTCATATTTTTATTGATTTTTACATCTGTAATCAACAAGGCTATTGGTCAGTAGGTTGCTTCCGATTTCCCTGGCTTTGATAATTCCGACCTTGTTGAAAAGGACAACAACTGTAAAAGACAGGAGGGAACTGTCGGCCACAATGTCAGGTGGTAGTGAATGGTCCCACTTTCCCCATTCACTTCTCAGTATTGCTGTGTGGAGTTGTCAGTAGAAAGATTACCTTGTACTTAATACCTTGACCAAAGAGCAGTAGAGTGGAGTCTAGAAGGATTTTCTACCACAGATCATTCAAATGTAAAAAGTGTGACTGATGAGCCTTTATTATCTGGCGAATATCCATTATAAAAGACCATCTTCTGTTAAGTGCTAATTTAGTTTATCTGCAAGTCTGTAATATTTTTAGTTGCTGGAATCCAGTAAAATTTCCTTACACAGATGATCTGGAAGGCAGCCTAGGTGTGCAGAACACTCAATTATCTAGTTTACCTTTCCTTCCCTTTCTCTCTCAGCGTTTTTGTATGTTGTAATCGTCTTCTTTGCATTTTATTGACAGAGGAGGAAGGAAGAGACTTGAGCTGTTTAGTCGCTTCTCTTGTTCAGGTGATGCTGGATCCCTATTTTAGGACAATTGTTGGATTTCAGAGTCTGATACAGAAGGAGTGGGTCATGGCAGGATATCAGTTCCTAGACAGATGCAACCATCTGAAGAGATCAGAGAAAGAGGTAACAAAATCTTCATGCCTTTTTATCAGTCTTTAAAAGATGGAAGGGGCTTTTAAAAAATACTGTGTTTCATACAGCTTATAGTGTCCTTAGTCCAAAGCTAGCTAATGGATTAGAGTTCAAATTGATGTATTTATTATAAAGTAGGGTGAAGTTTTTTAAAGTTGTGTATTGAATTTGTCTTAGTGGAAAAGTACTGAAAAAATTGTGAATAAAATCCTGTAAAACAGATAACAAGCACATAAGCTATTTGGAAAAATCACTTTTGGAATATCACATTTTCTTAAAACGGGATACACAGGTTATGATGGAGGGACACTTTTGTAACAGCTGTGGAGTTAGTGATTGCCTTAGATTTATAGTTAGACTGTGGAAGGCCTTACAGATAGCTTACAGGCCAGGCAAGTCAGATCACTTTTTAGAAGATTGTTTCAGAGACCACCATTTGACTTGTGGTGTCTCATAAAAAATAGTGGTTGGCCGGGCGCGGTGGCTCAAGCCTGTAATCCCAGCACTTTGGGAGGCCGAGGCGGGTGGATCACGAGGTCGAGAGATCGAGACCAATCATGGTCAACATGGTGAAACCCCGTCTCTACTAAAAATACAAAAAATTAGCTGGGCATGGTGGTGCGTGCCTATAATCCCAGCTACTCAGGAGGCTGAGGCAGGAGAATTGCCTGAACCCAGGAGGCGGAGGTTGCGGTGAGCCGAGATCGCGCCATTGCACTCCAGCCTGGGTAACAAGAGCGAAACTCCGTCTCAAAAAAAAAAAAAAAAAAATAGTGGTCATCAGCTGCTGTACTTGGGGACACACCATGTGACCTAGGCTGATAGCAAAGTGTTTTCTGATGGTGAGCCTACAGGATCAACCAAAAATGACAAGTTTGTTGATGGTTTGGTTTTGTTACAAAACCTAAAGAATTGTTTCTAGGTCATGTTCAAACGCATATTTTGCTCTTCCTCCTTTATATAGTGGCAACCTCCTCAGCTGTGTGCTTTGCCAATTCAAGGTGTTACACTTACTGGGCAGATAAGGGTTGTGATGTTTATCACGGTCAGACGTTACTTCTCGGGTTTGATAGATGTTTATCATCTATCCTTAGCTCAGCTTAGGAGCCAAGTGTTTTAGGCTTAGATGTTTTCTCATTCATCTCTTCTTTAACATCAGCAGTACATTTTGAAGTCAGTGTGAATGGCTGAAGGATAACATTAAATGATCCCATTTCTCTTTGTATTTGCCAGTCTCCTTTATTTTTGCTATTCTTGGATGCTACCTGGCAGCTATTAGAACAGTATCCTGCAGCTTTCGAGTTCTCAGAAACCTACCTGGCGGTGTTGTATGACAGCACCCGGATCTCACTATTTGGAACCTTCTTGTTCAACTCCCCTCACCAGCGAGTGAAGCAAAGCACGGTAAGCGACCCTGTGGCCCTGGCTCTGTTTTTCTTGTTTTTACAACTTTATCAAGGCATAATTGAAGTATAATTAACTACCTATTTAAAATCTATGATTTAAAACTCTCTTACTACCATCTTCAGCTGAAATTTCTGAATGAACTAAAGACACAAAAATCTAGGAAATTATTTTTATGAGTGAACATTTTTGTTTTACTCTGATGTAATTTTTTGTAGTAAACCCCTTTAAAGATGTAAATTAGCCACCTTAAATGTCATGCTTTTGTATTTATATTTCACATTTGGGCTATTGGGTAGTCAAAACCAAAGCCCTGTTATAGGACGTTTATTTCCTAGGTCAGTAGGATAAAAAGTTGTACAAAACAAGATGATTCTCCTTCAAGAGTTCTAAGTTTCCTGTCACAATTCATTGATCTAGAGGAAGCATCTAGATCTTACGACTAAGCACGGTCTCAAGGCAAACTTGAAACTCGCTCCTGCTCGCCCCTGGTGGGAACCATTCTGGACCAAAGTGCTGTCTCACCCACGCTTGAACCAACAACAGAAGCTGACAATCGCTGCAGAGACCGTTGAGAGAAACAGAAAGGGGTGGCTCTTGTGGGCCTTCAGGAAGCCTGTCTAGGAAGTCAGTCACCCTCACAGTGAGCTCCGGGTCTTCAGCCTCAGCAGTAAGGCCCTGGGCTGGGCAGTGTGGCCTGGGGAGCAGGAAACCTGAATTCCGGCAATGGTCTGGGAAAAGTGCTCCACCCATGTTCTGCTAAGGCTTCAGCCTGTGAGTCCAGGTTCCTTACCTGTAAAGTGGATCTGTCGGATTAACAATTCTGCTTTTAGTCTCATTGTATGAGGTGAAAACATTTTGTAAACTGTGAAGCATTATGCAAATTTTCCTAAAGATGTATGAATTATTCTGGATTTGTTGGTGTAAAAGACAAAACACACTGGTTAGTTAAGGAGCCGATTTCATTCAGGCTGCTGTAGGAGGGAGAATTTAATTAATGGGCATCCCAAAGAAAAGGCCAAAGCCTGGGATATTTTATGGTCAGAAAACGGGAATCAGGAGGGACGGCAGTCTGATTTCAGTTTACAGGAGTCAGTTCTCAGGACACGAAAAGCAGGAGGGATTGTCCAACATTGCCACTTTTGGGGAGCCCAGGCTCAAAGAAACTCAACACCGTCAGCCCGTCTCTACAAAAAAAAAATTAGCCTGATGTAGTGGTGCACACCTGTGGTCGCAGCTACTGGGGAGGCTGAGGTAGGAGGATGGCTTAAGCCCAGGAGGCAGAGATTGCAGTGAGCTGAGACTGTCACTGCACTTCACCCTGGGTAACAGAGCCAGAGTCTGTCCCCTGGACCAGTGATACAGGCTCAGAGGCTCCTGAGGCTCCTAAAATACATGTTCTCCCAGTTGCTCGTTTTCATTTGTCATCACCGTAATCATTCTTGGGCCCCCCATCTGCTTTGAGCTAGGCCTGCCCTTGGCCTTGTTTGCCTCTCTCGGCGCTCCCCCATTCTCTCCCGTCACTGCCCTGTGCACACAGTGTGAGCCTCCAAAAGGTGCATGAGGCGAGGACAAAGACTTTGGGGTCTGCGGAGTGGGCAGCGCATTGGGTGGGTATCCGGCACCCAGACACCGGTGCCCCTGCTGCTTGGCTGGTACCGCGTGTGCGGCGACTTCTCACCAGGAGTGAGCGTTACTGAATTGCAACGAGGGAGCTGCAAAAAATACTTCCTACAAGTATTTCCTCTGCTTTCTCGGTGCATGTTCTAGTGCTCTATTTATTTAATTTGGCTTTTTCAAAAGCGTTTTCTAGTGTTACAGCTCTGTTAGAATTTGTCTAGCAGGCTTTCTGGTTTTTGCCAGAAAGCCCCCCACCCTCCAAAAAAAAAAAGCTTTTTCTGACTAAGGATCATGATTCTTTACTGTCCTCAGCCCCTTCCACACAGCCAAAAGCCCAAAGCATTTATTTTTTTTCCATTCTGAGGCTACCTTAGCTGCTAGTGGCCAGGTAGTGTTTATAGAAAATCTGATATCCCTTGGAGATAAATATTTTTAATTTTCATCTTTTAAAAAAAAGACATCTTTTAAGACCAAATCTGGCTCTGTTACCCAGGTGGTGTGATCTCAGCTCACTGCAACCCCTGCCTCCTGGGCTCAAGCACTCCTCTCACCTCAGCCACCTGAGAAGCTGGGACTACAGGCACATGCCACCAAACCTAGCTAATTTTTGTATTTTCTTGTTGTAGAGTCAGGGTTTTGCCATGTTGCCCAGTCTGGTCTTGAACTCATGAACTCGAACGGTCCACTAATCTCAGCCTTCCAAAGTAATGGGATTACAGGCATGAGCTACCACACTTAGCCAAGAGGACAGTTTCTGTATACTTACTCAAGGGCCATTAAAATAGGTTCAGGTTCATGTTTTACTAGATTTCAGCTCTTGACAGTGTCTAAAGCAAATGGGTAGTTTTTAATCCATGTACGTGTATGACGAAATTTCAAGTGACTAAAAATTTTTAATATGTGTATTTGGTTCTTAATGAATTTTTACTTATTTGAAGTAGAAAATTTTGTAAACATTTAAAAAGTGCTCTGTGCTGTTACACAGTGTATCCATTTCTTGGTGATTCCAGGCCGCCACTGTGGCAAGGAATGCCACCTGGCCTCCTGACTGCTATATATTTTTTCCTAGTAACATTATTTGCCTTTTTAATAATTTCCAAATAAATTCTTGGGTTTTCTTCGGTAGAAAATTTGGAGAGTACTAAAAGGTACAGAACAAAGAGTCCAACATTTCCTCCCATCCAGAGACTCAGGGGATATGTCCTCCAGGGAACCGTTGTGTATACGCTGCTGTGGTAGCCTTCTGCCATCACTCAGCTGAGAGTCCGTTCTCCACATTGCTACATGTGACTGCTTCACAGAGATGGTCTAGGCTGCCTTCCAGAGGAGCTGTGTCTTCCTCACAGTGAAGTGGCTGGCTGTCACCCTATAGCCTTGTATTGCCTCTGTTTACTGCAGTGAGAAGCCAGATAACCAGGTTGTACCAGCCCAGAGTCCAGGCCAGAGGTGGACTCCTGTGAAGAGGGGTCTCCCGTGTACATGGTCTCCATGGTCTTAGCCACCTGCTAGCGACTTATAGGGGAGTTGTTTCCTTCCTCCCTACCCCGAGTCTGTGGCCTGTGATTTGAGACACTCAGTGAAGTGTAGCTCCCCACTTAGAAAATCAGTTATAAAATTGGTGGTAGTGATTTCCATCCAAAGATTTTGTTAGTCCACTTACCAACAGGTAACGGCTTAAATCTTCTGACCATGTGCTCATAAAAGTAAAATACTATAATTATGGAAATAAATTGAACATGTTTAAGACTTTCTGGTATCAGGTTAGTGGAATTTCTCTTAATAACATTCTTACTGCACAAAGGGCACAGCTTCCTTGGGGTCCTACGGCAGAGCGCACCTGAATAACACTCCTTGTTTACGGGACTGTGGGGCTTCTCTGTGCTCAAGAGCCAGGAGCGCCTCCTCTCTTGAAGTGGAAGGGCCGCTCTGGTGGGTTTTGAGGGCTGCGGTACAGAACATGTAACCTATATAATGTGAATGGCTCATCTGAAAAAAGGAATTCATGAGAAAATCTTTAGTTTTGCATCTTTTCACAGATGTTCAAATACTTTATTTATTTATTTATTTTGCAGGAATTTGCTATAAGCAAAAATATCCAGTTGGGTGATGAGAAGGGCTTAAAATTCCCCTCCGTTTGGGACTGGTCACTCCAGTTTACAGCAAAGGACCGCACCCTTTTCCATAACCCTTTCTACATTGGAAAGAGCACACCTTGTGTACAGAATGGCTCCATGAAGTCTTCTAAACGGACAAAGGTAAATGACAGCTAACAAAACCTGATGTTGGCTCACATGTAACCAAACACATCTTTTTCAGAACAGAGAGCATTAAAAGTAAAGGTACTTCCAACAGTAACACTGCTAATGCTGGTTTCTGACGGGTCATTCCCTTTTTAACTGAAATGACTGTATCTCGACTTTCTTCTTGGTATCTGAGGCCCAGGAAGCCTCAGTACCTGAGCATGGGCAGACTGCAGCTCTGAGCCTGCCAGCCCCGTTTACTGAAACCCATCCAGTCTGCGGTTCTTGATACAATCAGCGAGGTCTGGGTTTTTTCCCCAACCCTAGTCTTAGAACTTATCCTTAAGCAAATTAGTGGCTAGCAGGAACTCTCATCTCTATCCCTATTCAGGCCGATGGTGCTAGCCTAGGCAGAGTCAACACCTAAAAAAAATTTTAAGGGGAGGAGGATTAGCATACGGACTGCAAAGAAGGGAGGAAAATGTTCTTTGAAGTGGAAATTCCATTAATTTTTCATAGTATTGAGTCTGTATTTGCCATTGTATCCTTACACTCTTTCTAAAAAGGGAAACCCCGGAACATAATGGTAAAATCTCTTCTGTATAGAAAAGCTACAGCTCCACACTAAGAGGAATGCCGTCTTCCTTAAAGAATGGAATCATCAGTGACCAAGAATTACTTCCAAGGAGAAATTCATTGATATTAAAACTAAAGCCAGATCCACCTCAGCAAACCAACAGCCAGAACAGTGATATGGAGCAGTATTTTAGAGAATGGTTTTCCAAGCCAGTTGACCTGCACGCTGTTATTCTGCCACGTGTCTCTGGAACACACTTAAAACTGTGGAAACTCTGCTACTTCCGCTGGGTTCCCGAGGCCCAGATCAGCCTAGGCGGCTCCATCACAGCCTTTCACAAGCTCTCCGTCCTGGCCGACGAAGTCGACGTGCTGAGCCGGATGCTGCGGCAGCAGCGCGGTGGCCCCCCAGAGGCCTGCCACGGGGAGCCGGGCCGCAGCAGGATGTACTTCAGAGCCAGTGGCCCCAGCGACACCTCAGGGACGCCAGAGTTTCTCTCCTCCTCATTTCCATTTTCTCCTGTCGGGAATCTATGCAGACGAAGCATTTTAGGAACGCCATTAAGCAAATTTTTAAGTGGGGCCAAAATATGGTTGTCTACTGAGACATTAGCAAATGAAGACTAAAACAGGATGTTTTCTGAACATTTTGAGGGAAGCTGTAAACTTTTTTCCTCCAAATTCAAATTGCTAATCTAGGCATTTGAAGCTCTAATAACTTTATATGTTAAAGTAATAGTTGGAATTTGCACTAATATTTAAAAACATGTTGAATCATGCTTTTTTCCACACTTGCTGGAAAACAGATAGATATTTTGTTTCTGTCATTGCAGGTCTGGCTCTTGTAACTGTGATCCAGCTGTTCATCTTTCTGTCTGCTACATTTTTGTCTCCATCCATTTTTCCTGCTGCCTCCTGAAGGCTGTCTGATAGTCACATTAGCAACCCCAGGCAGCAAACAGGAAAGATAAGAAATTTGCGTTCTGTATCATTTTCAGTTACATCTGATAAAACCTCCAGCAGGCTTTAGGAACTATTCATGTATTTTTCTGGTCACTTTCTGTCATCTCTAATTGAACTCACCTGATGAAGGTTCAGTGTTCTGTGGCCAGAATTTATTTTACATCACCTTCTTGGCGACCTTAGATCACTGTGTTTTGAAATCAAGAGTTTGCTTTTAACTTCATAGGGCTAACTTTAAAATGATATGCACTGTTAACTTTAAAGCATTTGCCATAGATAATTAAACTTAGAAGTGCCTTTGACATTAAGATACAAATATTACAGAAGAAACTATCATTTTACTTCTAAAAGTGGGGTGTGAAAATCCCACTGCATATCGGAAATAGGCTTTTTATATTAAGCTTCATAGCCAGGAGTCCCCGAGTCCTGTTCCTCTGAAAGCCACTGGGGAGTGGCCTGTGGGACGCTGATTCCTCTGAGAGGGTAGTGGTGTAGACAGGAGAGTGCCATCTATGCCAAAACCCACCCTCAAAAACAAGGCGTGCTGGGAGGCGTGCTGGGCGTGGCCGTCAGTATTTCTAACACGGTAAACTATTGCCAGCACTTCTCCTTGGAAGTAACTAATGAGGTCATGAGCTGGGCGCCTGCAGATATTCTCCTTCTCTCATAGCTCCTGATGCTTAGGAATAGAGAAATAAAAATGGATTCTGTCAGAACACTGCCATTTGGACAAATAGTGAGAGAAGTCCTCCCTAACCTCCCAACTTTTGACAGCAAAGTTGAGAATGAGCAGACAGTTGTTTGCTTGATCTGAAACTCTCTCATTTCCAAACTGTGTGACAGGAGCCTACCCACCACTGTAGAGGTCAAAGCTGAAGCTTACAGCAGTGAAACGGGGCACCATCTCCCCCATACTCCTTATTCCCTGCTTAAAACGTGGACGCTTTCAAATTTGACTGTTTGTTCGTTTCTTAAACTGCCATCCTAAGATCCGGAAAATTGTTACAGTAATAAGTGTCTAGTTAGCTTATTTCCTTTTCTAAAACAAGTCTTTCCAAGATCGCTGTATTTTATCTTTATATGTACTGAGTAGCTGTTTCTATTTGAATTATTTGCCTTTTAAAAATTGGTATTGTCTCTGGATATAATAGGACAGGAGTTCTTAGAAAATATCTTAAGAAATTTACTTTATGGGTAAACCCAAGGTTTTTGCCAACTTGTTGCCTAGAAAATAAGGGCTATTTTTAGTTGATACAGATAGAATTATTAAACATTTTTACAGTCCTTGATTGGAAACCAGACCCAGTCTCCTTATAACACCACAGTGTATCCTGCCATTGACAGTGTAATCGTAATTCTCTCTTTTTCATTTAGCTGCTTTTTTATTATCACTAAATGTTTGGATTGAGCATTTTTCCCCCTATAATTTTCTTCCCTCACATTTCTGTATTTAACTCCTGTAGTATTTTATTGTTGTTAATTTACAAGTTTAAAAGTATTAGGTACTATTAATAATAGTAGTTTAAAATAGAAAAATAATAATAGTTTAAAATAGAAAAATCCCTATTTTTATGATAATCAGATGTAGTGAGTTTTAATTTTGCTGGACAGTTGTTATATCATGATCATTGTGCCGCAGTTAATTGTGCATAATATGAAAGACAACTATGACAGCCTTCAGGCAGGCCAGGCTAAAGCCAGCTGCTCAGCACTTCTGCCGTCAGAGGGACACGTGACAGCAGTGGTGTGACTGCACAGAGCACACTAGAGAGAGCTCAGCACCCCTGCTGCCCACCGGCAGAGCCTGTGTCGGGGAACGCCCCGCAGAGGCTGACGCACTGGATGAAATTTCTGGTATTGAAAGTAAAGGTGTACAGTTTCTTGCTATCATTTTATGATGGAAACCAATTTTGAAATGAAAAATGTCTAACTTTATTTAAGGAAAGGATATTAATTTGTACTAACAGAGGGTGAAAGCTGTTCACATCCGTCAGCAAAATCTGCTTGCTGCAGTAGTAACCTCAAGTGGTTAAAACTTTATTTTCAGAGAAAATTAAAACCTTAGTGCCTAAAATTGATGACTTGAGTTCAAGTGGGATGAGCAGGAAGATGTGAGATCTTCTTGTTTAAAAGTAATGAATGTGAAGGAAATTTTGATTGCTTAATAAAATTTCCACAGCAACTGTTTGTCGTTGTCAGTATGAAATCATCTACAGGAACACGGTGATGGAAGATGTGAAGGTACCTTCTCCGTTCCATACTTCTGTGTCATCCATGGGACGTTTCCGCTTGCCCTCTAAAGCCAGGTAGTGATCAGTAACTTTTTTTTAACAGTAATTCAGAAGTGGCTCAAGTTAAAGCCATGTGGATATTGATGGACAGTGCCCTAACTGGTCCTTCCATTGAGTAAATATAAAAACTAGGAGTAGTATTCCCACAAGAAGGCCTCGACAGAACAAGTCAAGAGACTGGGATTACTGTCCCTGACTCCTGCATGGATAAATCACCTTTCTACCACACCCCTTGCCCAGCCTGAGACCCTCCCACAAATGAGCAGCCCTGCTTTGACTGTATTGTCAGCAGAGAAAAGATCCGGATCTAGTTATTAGGGACGGTCCCAAGGAGAAGGACAGTGAGGGACAGCTACCTCTGATAAAGACTTCACTTCTCATGATCCGGGCCTGATGAGTAGAACAAGCATTGAGATGTCTTAAATTAACACAGCTTCATGAGAATTTTTAACTAATTCCTCAAGAAACTGGAATTTCAACTGTTTCTGCCACCTTAGATAATCAAAGTTTAACAGCTAAATGTGTAGGGCAGTAAAGAAAAATGGAAGATTCTTGGTTTCCCATATTATTAATTACTTGAAGGAAACATTGGTTATGCTACTTTTTCACAAAAAACCTAAAAATATGAATCATGACTTGTTTTTCAGTTTTCCAGCTTTTTGCATGTCTAATCATATAAATGCATCCAGCTCCAAAAATGGTCAACAAGGTGCTTCCCTTTTAAAAAGTTCATCACCGGCTGGTGTGGTGGCTCAAGCCTGTAATCCCAGTATTTTGGGAGGCCAAGGTGGGTGGATCACTTGAGGTCAGAAGCTCAAGATCAGCCTGGCCAACAAGGCAAAACCCCATCTCTACTAAAAACACAAAAATTAGCCGGGTGTGGTGGCGCACGCCTGTAGTCCCAGCTACTGGGGAGGCTGAGGCAGGAGAATTGCTTGAACCCGGGAGGCAGAGGTTGCAGTGAGCCAAGATCACACCACTGCTCTCCAGCCTGGGCAACAAAGTAAGACTCTTGTCTCGGGGGTTTTGGGGGGGGAGCTCATTACTTACTGTGTGTGGAATCACTGAGTGTATTCAAGCAAACACTATTTTGTGATATACTGACACTGTACCATGATAAGTCAAACTATCAGGTTTACGACGGACAGTAACAAAATTAATTAAAACATGATGCTTTACATGAAAATCTTCCATCCGTGTATGACCGCATATCCCCAATTCCATAGCTTTTAGCTAAGGCTTTGGCTCTTTGCTCCAACTGCAACCACGTGGCAGACTTCAACTTCCGCCCCCAGCTTCTGCAGTTCATCCAGCCAGATCATCTGCTTATGTGAAAGGCGATCACTGGGGCCTTTAACTTCCACCAGCTGTAAGAGAAATTTTTAAGTTATTAGTATCTTACTGAAACTGAAAAGCCATCCAAAGAAGTTACTGTAGTTGTCACTGACAACTACAGTAAATGGGTCTTCTGCTTTCTCACTGTATTTGTAAGTGTCACACAAATACACAAATGGTCCTTCACTTAGACTGGTTCACCTTAGGATTGTTTGACTTCAAAATGGTGCAAAAGTGATACGTACTCAATAGAAACCATGCTGAGTTTTGATCTTTTCCCAGTATGATACTCGATGCTGGGCAGCAGCAGTGAGTCCCAGCTCCTGGTCAGCCACACGATCCTGAGGGTAACCAGTACTCTACGGTGTTCAGAGGACTAGATGATTCTGCCCAGGCTGATGCATGCATTCTGAGCACATTGAAGGTAAGCTAAGCTACACTACGAGGTTTTGGTGGGGTTAAGTACGTTACACGCATTTTCAACTAAAGATTTTCAGTTGATGTGTAGGATTTATCAGGGCATATCTCCATCACAAGTTGAGGACTGTCTGTATGTAGCTAAGAAATTTATTCAGAAATGTTTCTATTCTGTAGAAACTACACAGTTCTTCACAGAAGATCAGTAAGTGCATTGTTAGTATAGCAAATGAAAAATTGTTTTAAGGAATGCACTGGGTTTTACCTCCCTACTTAAAGCCTTCCAGTTTTCTGTTACATTTTCAATTAGATCTAAACTTCTTGCCATGACCAGTCTCTTCCCTACCCAAGACCCTCACTTGCACTTGCACTTGCTGTTCCCACTGCCTGGGACATTTCTCCCTGTTCTTGGCATGCCTGACTTCTTACCTTTAAATGCTCAGCTTAAACTCATCTTGTGGTCACAGCTCTAAGTAGATCCTCCCTATGCATTTCTTTCATGGCATTCATAACATAAAAATATGTACATGTCATCTTCATAGTGGCAGGAATTGTGTTCACTACACACCACTAGAAGACACAATAAAAACTATCCTAAGGTACAGAAAAAACGTATTTTAAATACAGCATTCAGCAGCCTAACAGACATTTAATTAGAGTCCCCAAAGGAACGAGAGAAAAAAAATACTTAAGGAAAAAAATGGCAAAAATTTTTCCAGATTTGGAGAAAACTGTAAACCCAAGGATTCAAGAAAATCAACTAATCCCAGCCCCCAAATGTAACAGTACCCTAGGAAATATTGTACCTGTATAATCAGCAATAGAGGAGATAGAGTCAAAGCAGCAAGAATTTATTTTTAATTTTATTTTTCTAAACATCTTTAGGTCTACCGTATGGTTTTTTTTTTTTTTTTTTTAATTGTACTTTAAGTTCTGCAGTACATCTGCAGATCTTGCAGGGTTGTTGCATAGATACACACATGCCATGGTGGTTTGCTGTCTCCATCCCCCCATCACCTACAACAGGCATTTCTTGCAGTGTTATCCCTCCCCACCTGCCGCTGGCCCTCCCCCAGCCCCCAACCCCTACCAACATGCCACAGTGTGTGATGTTCCCCTCCCTGTGTCCATGTGTTCTCACTGTTCAACACCTGCCTATGAGTGAGAATATGAGGTGTTTGGTTTTCTGTTCTTTTGTTCTTGATTTGGCTCTCTTTTAGTCTGTTGTTAATGTATACAAATGCTTGTGATTTCTGCACGTTGATTTTGTATACTGAGACTTTGCTGAAGTTGCTTATCAGTTTCAGGAGATTTTGGGCTGAGATGATGGGGTCTTCTAGATACACAATCCTGTCATCTGCAAATAGAGACAATTGTATTTCCTCCTTTCCTAGTTGAATACCCTTTGTTTTCCTTGCCTGATTGCTCTGGCTAGAAGTTCCAGTACTATATTGAATAGGACTGGTGAGAGAGGGCATCCTTGTCTAGTGCCAGATTTCAAAGGGAATGCTTCCAGTTTTTGCCCGTTCAGCATGATATTGGCTGTGGGTTTCTTGTAAATAGCTTTTATTATTTTGAGATACATTCCATCAGTATCTAGTTTGAGACTTTTTAGCATAAAGGGCTGTTGAATTTTGTCGAAGGCCTTCTCTGCATGTATTGAGATAATCATGTGGTTTTTGTCTTTGGTTCTGTTTATGTGGTGAATTATGTTTATAGACTTGAGTATGTTGAACCTGCCTTGTATCCCCCAGAGGAAGCCTACTTGATGATCATGGTAGATAAACTTTTTGATGTGCTGTTGCAATTGGTTTGCCAGTATTTTATTGAAGATTTCTGCAGCTATGTTCATCATGGATACTGGCCTGAAGTTTTCTTTTTTTGTTGAGTCTTGCCTGGGTTTGGGTATCAGGATGATGTTGGTCTCATAAAATGATTTGGGAAGGATTCCCTCTTTTTGGATTGTTTGGAATAGTTTCAGAAGGAGTGGTACCAGCTTCTCTTTGTATGTCTGGTAGAATTCAGCTGTGAACCCATCTGGACCTGGGCTTTTTTTGGTTGGTAGGCTATTAATTGCTGCCTCAACTTCAGTTCTTGTTATTGGTCTATTCAGGGTTTCAACTTCTTCCTGGTTTAGGCTTGGGTGGAGGCAAGTATCCAGGAATTTATCCATTTCTTCCAGGTGTCCTGGTTTATGTGCACAGAGTTGTCTGTAGTAATCTCTGATGGCAGTTTATATTTTTGTGGAATCGGTAGTGATATCCCCTTTATCATTTTTTATTGTATCTATTTGATTCTTTTTTATTAATCTGGCTAGCAGTCTGTTTTGTTGATCTTTTCAAAAAACCAGTTCCTGGATTTGTTGATTTTCTTGTAGGGTTTTTTGTGTCTCACCTCCTTTCGTTCTGCCTTGATTGTAGTTATTTCTTGTCTTCTGCTAGCTTTTGACTTTTTTGTATCTTGCTCTTCTAGCTCTTTCAATTTTTATTATAGGGTGTCGATGTTAGATCTTTCCTTGCTTCTCTAGGGCATTTGGTGCTATAAATTTCCCTCTAGACACTGCTTCAAATGTGTCCCAGAGATTGTGGTACATTAAGTCTTCATTCTCAATGGTTTCAAAGAACATCTTTATTTCTGCCTTCATTTCACTGTTTATCCAGTCATCATTCAGGAGCCAGTTGTTCAGTTTCCACTTAGTTGTACGGTTCCGAGTTAGTTTCTTAATCCGGAGTTCTAATTTGATTGCACTGTGGCCTGAGAGACTGGTTGTTATGATTTCTGTTCTTTTGCATTTGCTGAGGAGCGATTTACTGCCAATTATGTGGTCAGTTTTAGAGTTAAGTGCGATGTGCTGCTGAGAAGAATTATATTCTGTGGATCTGGGGTGGAGAGTTCTGTAGATGTTTGTTAGATCCGCTTGATCTACGTCTGCATTCAAGTCCTGGATATCCTTGTTGATTTTCTGTCTCGTTGATCTGTCTAATATTGACAGTGGAGTGTTAAAATCGCCCACTATTACTGTGTGGGAGTCTAAGTCTCTTTGTAGGTCGTTAAGAACTTGCCTTATGTATCTGGGTGCTCCTGTATTGGGTGCATATATATTTAGGATCGTTAGCTCTTCTTGTTGCACTGATCCTTTTACCA